GGAGCCAAAGGGATGTCGGAGGCGGGTGGGGCTGCTCTGGGCAGAGACCTTGGGGGTGAGACTCGCCCTCATCCCTGGCAGGGAGCTTTGGAGTGTGCCCCTCCTCGCCCTCCCCAGCTCCCCCACTGCCTGTGAGGGCCTCAGGTGGACCCCGACTCACATGAGGAAGACGAGGCCGAGCAAGATGAAGGCTTTGGCGCCCAGTCCCACCAAGGGCCCCAGAAGCCCCCCTGTCCTCGCTCCCGCTGCGCCTGCAGATAGAGGCCTGGGTGACTCCTGCCCTGAGCAGACACCAGGCCCCCAGGCTGCTCCTCTCCCAGGTCCCGGAGCGCCCAGTTCTCTCCAGGGTCTGGGGGAGAATCGGGTCAGGCCAGAGGGGCCCGGGTGAGGGAATTCACCAGAGACCGGGTGAGAGCAGAAAAGCTGGGCTCATGGAAATGCACTCGCTGAGAGAGGTGAGGGGAGATGGGGGTGGGGGGTTGTCTTTTGGCAGAGAGAGGCCCCGAGGCTCTGTTGTGCTCCAGGCATCATGGCCAGTTGGGGTGACTGGTCCTGGGGTCCCTCTGGGGATGATGGGTCTAGAGGATCAGCCGCTCAGTGTCCGGGTGCCAGGGCAGCCCCATCCACTCCCCTTATCCATTCAGACAGGCTGGGCAAGGAGGTGAGTTCGGTTTTTAAATTGATTTACACTTCCAGGACTTCTCTGTCCCCTACCCGTAGAGGGCAGCCTCATCCCCACCTCAAAACCACAGAGGTCCTGTAGGCTGCTGCCCCCTAGGTCAGCAGCAGGCCCTAAGCCCTCTGTGAGCCCAGGTGCAGGAATCACAGGGATGGGGCAACTCCCAGTAGCTGGGGTGCTATGGGGGTGATAGGGACATCAGCGTAGCCTCTCCCCTCTCGGGGCAGCAGAACACCGGGGGGTGATGACTCACTCTCCACAGAGACTCAGGGAGGCCTCCTGGGAGCCCAGAGGGTTCTGAGCAAAGCAGAGGAGTTTCCCGTGGTCCTCCAGGGGCACCCCGGACAGCTCCAGCTCCAGGGTCTGCGGGTGCTCCCACGTGCCTCCTGCACCCACGGGGTTTAGACTTGGAGAGGACTTCACGGTCAGGCTCCTCTTGACCCACATCAGATTGTCGGGAGGGCGGCTGTGGACCACACAGGCCAGGTGCAGGGACTGGCCCTCCTGCACTGGGAGAGAGGAGCCGTTGCCCAGGGCTTCAGGTCCTGGAGAAAGAGAGTTTCATGCCTCTTTTAGGGGTTCACCCTGTGATATTTGATCACCCCCTCTGGGCATTTTGTTATGTAGCCCCTGCCTACCAAGGCCAATTTTGTGGTCATTATTTTAAACAGTAAGTTGTAGCAGGAGAGTGATCCTGAGGAGGTGGATAGATCATAAGGAGCATGAGGGCAGAACTGGGGAGGAGGGTGTAGGCCTAGAACTGGGGACAAGGTGTATTCGTTATATTGACTCACCATACACATCAGCAGGGTCAGGGTCATCTCTGAACAAGCAGGGTCATCGGTGGGGGAGCCCATATGGGTCCCACCACTGGTGCCTCCCACCTAGCATCCTTTCTCCTATCTGTGTTTTCAGACCCTGGCTCTACTCTGAAGAGCGGACACACCCCAGTCCCCTCACACTAGAGAGGGAACCTTGTTCCGTACCTGATCCTTCTACCCTGATCACCTGGATGGTCAGGTTCTGGGGCGCATCTGGACAGACAGAATTGTTCTCTGTCAGCTGGCCTTTCCCCAACAAACATGAGATATGGCCAGGGGCCTCTTTTTCTCCACCCACCAGGATGTGCAGGCCCAGCCCCCAGCCCCCGCATCTCCTCTTCCTAGATCGGCTGCCCCCTGGACCCTTCATGCCAGGAGTCCAGGCCCCACACTCACAGTACATGCTGAGTCGGACGGTGGTCCCTGTGCTCACGCCCTAGTGGGGAAGGTCACCCGGCAGGTGAGGTTGGAGCCGTGGTGCTGGGGCCCCGGGCTAAGGGTGAGCACCGGGGAGTCAGTGCCCATGGTGCTGAGGCCGACCCCCGTCCAGGAGAAGGCAGGGGGCGCGCTCCTGCCACAGGCCCAGGGCACCGCACAGGTGATATTCCTGGGCCGGCCGGACTGGAGGGGCCGCTGGAGGGGGATGTCCGGCGTGTGGGTCAGCGCTGGGGGAACAGACATGGGTGGAGGAGGACCTGAGTGTCCCCAGGGGCTGCCTCTGTCAGGCCTTCCACCCCCGCCCCGGGTGGTTTCCCCACGGATCTTAGGGTCCCTCCCAAGGTGAACACTTGGGGCCCCTCCTAGCCTTGCTGGGGGCGCTCAGGACCCTCCCATGTATCCCTCCTGCACCCGGCCCTTACCTGTAAGTTTACAGAGAACTGGTGATTCATGTAACTATATTTCACAGAACCCCCACTCTCCACCCTGAAGTAGTAGGTCCCCGTGTCCTCTCTCCGCGCGTCTCTGATGTCCAGGGAGCAGCTGTAGTTCCGGGGGTCCCCCAGCAGGTGGAATTGGCCCCAGGTCTCCTTCTGCACCTCATGACCTGGGCGGTTTGTGGCCACCAGAACACGCTGTGTACCCTGAGACCCTCCCCTGGCCCTGAACCAGTAGCCGTAGAATGGACTTTGCTCAATGTAACCTTCCTTGGGGTAGGCGACGTCGCAGGGCATGAGGACGCACTGGCCCTCCTGCACCGTCACCCGCTCCTCCTGCAGGCGCAACCAGAATCTCTCCTCCTGAGCCAGGGCCCCTGCGGGGAGACGAGGGTCAGTGCAGCCCCCACCCGGGCCCCTCCCCTCCCCCACTCACCTGCCCACAGCAGGGGCAGCAGCAGCGGTGGCAGCATCGCGGGGAGTGTCGGATCTGGGGGCACAGGCTGAGGAAGCCCCGATGGAGGCAAGATGGGGCGGTCAAAATGAGCTGACCACAGGGAGGAGCTTCCCACACTGTGCGCCAGGCCAGGCTGCGTAGACACTTCTCGTCCCGGGTCACTGAGGGTCGTGGGGCAGGAGGACCCGCCTGTAGCTCTCCGCTCCCTGCACAGCAAGACACAGGCCCTGCAGGGGCCCCCAGGGGCCGACCCCCTGGTGTGGGCTCAAGTGGGGGCACCTGCAGGCATTAGAAATGGTGGGGTGTCTGGGTGAGGGAGGAGGTGGTGGTAAATGCCCTTGGTCTTGGGGGGCATCTGCTTCTTTCAGAAGTCGGAGTAGCTTGGGGACGACCTCACCTCTGTGCTTGAGAAGGTCCATGACGCCGGAAGGGCTCAGAGACCTTTGCAGCTGCTGTGGCTTCAGGTGGGCAGAGGTTGTCCAGGCAGGGCCGTAGGAACCCAACTGCTCTGTGAGCCCCAAGGTGGGGCCCCACAAGAGATGGGCCGGAGAGGACGGGGCCTGGGCTCTGAGGGGACACGGTGGTCCTGGGGCCTCTGACCTGGGTGCTCTGCCCCAGGACCTCGGTGTGATGGGCCAATAAGGTCTGAGACTCAGTCGTCGTCATCATCATCATCTTCATCATCAGCAACAACATCACAGCATGATGATGGGGACGGGGCTCTGGAGTCAGGAAGGCCGGGCCCTTGTTCCCACCAGACCTCGGTGTCCTCGGCCGTCACAGGGAAGATCCCAGTTCTCCCCTGGCCTGGGGACAGGCGCACATGGCGTGGTGCTTCCCGCAGACTCGGGGTGTCCCCCTGGGGTCAAGGTCAATCCCACCCTTTGAACTCATGCTGAGGGAGGCTCTGTTTCCTCTGGGGACCCGCATCTCTCACACTTAGAGCCTCACAGCTGTGGGGTCTGGGGCTTAGAGTTCTCTGTGGCTTCTCCCGCGGGACGGGTGGAGGGGCGAGGCCAGGTGGGAAGACGCATCTCCTAAACAGGTGCCATGTGGGGAGCGACACGTGTTGACTGGTTTTCTGTGCAGGCCCAGAGCTCGGCCAGCCCAGGTCCCCAGAGTCACGCCCGCTGCGGGGAAGGTCACCCGGCACCCGAGGCTAGAGCCGTGGTGCTGGGGCCCCGAGCAGAGGGTCAGCGCTGGAGTCGGTGCCCCTGGTGCTGAGGCCGCCCCTGTTCAGGAGAAGCAGGGGTCCTGCCCTTGCCACAGACCCAGGGTGCTGCAGAGGTGATGTTGCTGGGCCGGCCAGGCTGCAGTGTCCCTGGAGGTGGATGTCCGGCTTGTGGGTCAGCGTGGGGGGACAGACTCAGTCTGGAGCAGAACCCAAGTGTCCCCAGGGGCAGCCTGTGTCAGGATGGGTGCCCTCCCTCTCCCACCCTGGTCTGTCCACTGCGTCCCTCCCATTGTGAAGCAGGGGATCCCCTCCAGTTTTGCCCTGGGGTCCCTTGGGACCCATCCTTTTACCCGTTCTGTACCTGTCACATGACAGGGAGCTGCAGGGTCTGAAACGATGACCCCATATACCTTCTCCCCCACGTTAGGCAGTAGGTCCCCAAGTCCACCCCGGGGCATCCCTGATGTCACTGAGGAGTCATGGTTCTGGGGCCTCCAATGAACGGAATCAGCCCTGGGTCTCCTCCTGCGCCTCCTGATCTGGATGTCGGGGCCTTCCCCACCGTGTCAGCCTGAGACCTTCTGCTTTCCCAGACCCTGTAGCCGCCGCTTCTTTAAGGCAGCCAGGGCTCAGGGCGTTTCCCACAGCTGGCGTGGAAGATGCTGGAACAGGTCAATTTTAGCTCCCGCTCTCAAGTGGCTCTGACGTCACCCCTGTTCTCCCCCTGCAGACTCTCAGGCCGGTGGCGCAAGAGAAAGTGTCCCCGTGTGCACGTGTTTCCAAACCAGAGTCAGTGGAGAACGTTCCTTCCGTCTTCCCAGCATAAAGAGTTTCATGTGGTCCTTGGGTCATGAGGACAGAGTCTCCTGCCAGTGAAACGTCACTGTGGCCTGGTGATTGGTGCCCCATGTGTGGGTTTCACCGGAGATTCATATCAGCTCCATTGGCTGGAGATTTCTGTGAGTTTTTGTGGTGTTTCTTTCATGAGCTTTACCTTTTTGTTTGAAGATTTATTTATTTATGCATACAAGAACTGGGGTACAGGCCAGAGGTGGGGGTGGTGAGAGGACTCACCAGAGAGAGAGTGGGGAGCAGAACAGGCAGACTGACTGAAATATGCTGCTGAGGGGAGCAGCAGGCAGTCAGGAGAGGTCTGCCCTGCCATGTGGGTAGCTCACTTCGGGGGTCTCCCTGCGGCCTGGGGGCCTGGCCTGCTCCCTGGTCACCGTCTGTGCTTTTCACCCTATTTCTCCTCACTCTGGAGGTAGACTAGGCCCTCCTATCCCAGCTCACGGGGCTCTGGCCTGTCTGAGGGACTCACTTCAGTTAGGGACACTGCATGTCTCACTCCTACTTCTGACCTTTTAGACAATGCGGTGGTCTCAGAGCCCAGCCTGGGAGTTTCTGTGCATGTTTAGTTGCATTAGGAAACATGATTCCCCCAGATAGTTACTATGAGAAACAGATTCACGGGGGCCTCCCTGGTATAGTAGGGGTTAAAGGCTCAGTGCTACCACTGGGAAGGCCCACTGTGTGGGCCTGGGCCTCAGATGGAACCCTGGCCACGGAGCTGACCCACATCACACAGCAGCCCTCTCCTGTCTCCCCGCTGCTCCCCTCAGCAGTGTATTTCAGTGGATCCGCCTGTTCTGCTCCCCACTCTGTCTCTGGTGAGTCCTCTGATGCCCGCATCTGTGGCCTACACCCAGTTCTTGTAAACACACACAAAAAACATGGAAATAGTTTCACATTGTGAAATAACGCGCTTCTAAAATAGCCAAGCAGAAGGGCCGCGGGGGAGGGGGGAGCTGACCAGTCGGCAACATGGGGTGCATTGCCCGCCTTGTGCACATGCGCCCACTTTACAGCGGAGGGAGCTGAGGCCGGAGAGTGACGGGGACGCGTGTCTAAGCGGCTGGGCTGGGCGTGACCCGGGAGCTCCGGCTCCATCGGTCCCAGGAGCCCCGAGCTCGCCTTTCTGACCTCGCTGAGGCGGCAGCTCTGCAGGGAACGCAGGACCCGCTGTCCTCAGAGAGGCCTTTTTGGGGCTCCAGCATCGGGAGAGGGTCAGGAGAGGGCGGCTCCTTTGATCTGGGCGTACTCGGAGGCCTCCTGGACCAGAAAGGCCCTGGGATTCGCCTTGGGGAGCCCGAGGTTGGCGTAATGCAGCTCCTGCTCCTCCTCTGAGGGGGTCGCCGCCGGGCCCCGGGTATGCAGGGGGCTGTCAGCCCAGGGTCTGCCCTTGTGACCCTGAGGAGGACAAGATAAGGCTCAGGGTCAGCCTTGGGGTCTGGAGAAGGGACCTGGGCTCAGGGGTGTCTGTTCCCTTGTCCAGTCACATCCAGTCCGAGGGTCCTTCACACACTCACTCACACACTCATTCTCTCTCTCTCTCTCTCACACACACACACACACACACTCACCATTCTCACCTCTAACAGGTTTTCATCATAACGGCTTGTTGTTATCATTACTCTCCTCAACCCCCACCCCTGTCTGAATGATGCCACCGTCACCCCATTTCACACACATGCAGACACAGGGGGCAGCCCGTGCCCCCAGCCCACAGACCCAACCTGGGGAGCTGCAAGCCAAGGGCGCATCCCCTGATCCCCACACCCCACAGAAGCTTCTCCTCTTGCGAAATGGGTTATGAGGCCAGTGCAGGGGCCTGGGTGGGCCTGGAGTGTGCAGTGGACGTGGCCTGTCTCAGGGCGGGCAGTGGGTGGGCACAGCCCTGTCACTACTGCCCCCCCAGGACCAGGGGGTGAGTTGAAATGGGGCAAAAAAGACTTGGAGGCTCCAGCCCCCGGGTGGGGAGGTCTGGAGAGGACACACAGCGCAGAGTCCCCTCAGGGCCCTGCCCGGCCACAGGCTCCGTTGTGGGAAGGACAGGAGGGGCTGCAGCTGGGCAGGGATGTCCCAGAGCCAGGGATGGGGACTTGGACCCTGGGGGAGGCGCGGAGCCCCAGCCGCGTGTGGGGAGTGAGGACAGGAAAAGCTGTGGTCAGAACCCAGAGGCTGCTGTGCGTGTGACATCAGCGCTGTCTTTCACAGGCTGACCTCAATGACAATGTCACCCGCCACCAAAAATCAAGTGATCGCGGGCAGAGTTGGGCTGCGAGCGGGTGGGGTGTGCGGGTGTGCGGGCACCGCGGGGGGTGTGGGTGAGTCAGTGACACACCAGGGGGGATGGTGGTGAGGGAGGCTGAGAGGGAACATGAGGCGGGGGCGGCGCAGACCAGGACCCGCAGGCGGGGACGCAGGACAGAGTGTTGAGGAAGGAGAAGCCCCGGGGGGGCGCCGAGGCCCAACAGGGCTCAGGATGCTGTGAGGGGGTCTGGGGCGCAGGCCAGACGGGGTTTGGATCGGGAGCCAGTGCAGAGAATCCCCGGTTCTTCCAGACCTGCTGGTCACCCCAGAAGGGGTTAGTTTAGCGACAGGTGCAATTCCACAAAGGATGGGCCCCCAGCAGGAGCCTGTGTCAGTGCGGTCTCTGCCCTGCCCGCGGCAGCTCCGGCCCCCACAGTGTCAGGTCCTTCCCGGGTGAGAGGATGCACCTGCCCCTGCGTGTCACTAGACCTGGCTGCCTGGTTGGACACTCCTCCGAGCCTCTGAAGGGGGAGCTCCTGGGAGACTCTCCTCCCAGAACCCGAGGACCCGGCTCTCTGACCCACCATCCGTGCGTCTGTCTGTCTGTCTGTCCTCCTGGGCAGTGTGCCCGCGGGACAGTGATAGCCCTGGAGGAGGCTCCGGGTATTTCTGCCCCACCCGGATGTGGGGGCGGCAGGGTTTGGGGGAGGGGAACGAAGTGGGGTGATGGGATGAGGCCAGAGACCCTGACAGAGACCCTGAGGGCTCAGAGGGCTCAGCAGGCAAGGGAGGGGGAGAAATCCTTTTCCCAGAGGGCGCCTCACCAGGACTTAGGGGTGGGGAGGGCGGGAGCTGCAGGTCTCCAGGCTTGTGCTGCAGAAAGCACGGGAGGAAATGGGGTGGGGGATGCCAGGGAAGCCTCCTTCCCTGTAGGCCCAGCGCAGGCTCAGGTAGAGAGGGACCAGCCCCACCTGCAGGAAGACACTCACCCCGGGGGTTCTCCCTGCGGCCTGGGGGCCCAGCCTGCTCGCTGCTGCCTCCATCCCTTTCTTCTTGCAGCTCCTCACTCTGCGGAGGGAGACCAGGCCCCTCAGCCCTGCTGCTCGCCCAGGAGCCAAAGGGCTGTGGGAGGCTGGTGGGGGCTGCACTGGGCAGAGGCCCCAGGGACAGACTTGCTGGGGTGTTTCAGCATCACAGCCCCTGACTCACCCCACAGGCCGCCAGCCCGGAACAGTAGCTCTGTTGTCTTCCTGCCCCCTCCTCCCCCCACCCCTGCGCCCTCCCAGCCTGCGAGGTCTTCAAGGGTCCCGACTCACATGAAGAAGACCAGGCAGAGCACGAGCAGGGCGGAGACTCCTGCTCCCCCAATGGCCCCCAGAACCACCCACGTCCTGGCTCCTTGTGGACCTAACACAAAGAGATCTGGGTGACCCCTGTCCCCTGAGCAGACACCAGACACCCAGGGGCTCACCCATGACCGGGAGAGCCCATTCTCTCCAGGACTTGTCCTCTGTGCCCCCATTGTCTGCGGATACAGCCTCCGTCCCCCCCACCCAAGAACCCTCAACACTCCACAGGGCCTCGCCCCTCTTGTCCCCAGGAGACAAGGTCAGTGTCCCTTCCTGGAGCAGCCCCCACCCGCCCCACCGCAGGGAGGGGCAGCTGCAGAGCAGACTCTGGTCCCCCAGGAGCAGGAGGGGCCACACTGATATGTGGATTGGGGTGCTGTGGGGGTGATGGGGGCATCAAGGCAGCCTCTCCCCTGTCATCACAGCAGAAGCCCTGGGGGTGCTGACTCACTCTCCACAGAGAGACTCAGGGAGGCCTCCTGGGAGCCCAGGGGGTTCTGAGCGCCGCAGAGGAGTTTCCCGTGGTCCTCCAGGTGCACCTTGGCCAGCTACAGCTCCAGGGTATGGGGGTGCTCCCACGTGCCTCCCGCACCGAGGTTGAGACTTGGAGAGGACTTGACGCTCAGGGTCCCCTGGAACCAGCTCAGCATGGCAGGAGGGCTGCTGTGGACCACACAGGCCAGGCGCAGGGACTGGCCCTCCTGCACCGGGAAAGAGGAGCCGTTGCCCAGGGCTTCAGGTTCTGCAGAGGGAGATTTCAGGCCTTTAATAGGGAGTCACCCTGTCAGTTTGATCACCCACTCTGTGTCATTGTGTTATGCAGACTCTGCTGACTGAGGCCAATTTTATGGTCAATATTTTAAAAAGTAAGTTGTCCCAGCAGTGAGATGCTTAGGAGGTGGATAGATCATAAGAAGCATGAGGGCAAATTGGGGAGGAGGAAGTAGACCTGGTACTGGGGATACATACAGATAAGGAAGACACAGTAGGACACCCCAAGGAGCTGGTCTTTGGCAGGAGAGTCTGGGTATGAGCTGATGAGCCCATGGGGGTTCCTATCTCTGCTGCCCCCCACTTAGCAAAGGCCTTTTCCCATGTGTGTTCTCAGACCCCAACTGTTTGGAAGGCTCGAGACAGACCCCACCTTTAGAGGTCAGCTTGCTCCCTACCTGAGCCTTCTTCCCTGATCACCTGGATGGTCAGGTTCTGGGGCGCATCTGGACAGACAGACGTAATTGTTCTCCGTCAGCTGGCCTTCCCCCAGGAACATGAGACATGGAGGATATGGCCAGGAGCCTCTTTCCCTCCTCCCGGCAGGATCTGTAGGGCCCACACCCCAGAACCTGCATCTCCCCTTCCTATATCCACTGCCCTGGGACCCCTCAGGCCAGACATCTGGGCCCCACACTCACAGGCCACGCTGCGCCGGACGGTGGTCTCTGTGCTCACGTTCACTGCGGGGAAGGTCACCCGGCAGGTGAGGTTGGAGCCGTGGTGCTGGGGCCCCGGGCTGAGGGTGAGCACCGGGGAGTTGGTGCCCGTGGCAGTTAAGCCAACCCCCATCCAGGAGAAGGTGGGTCGTGTTCCCCTCTTGCAGGCCCAGGGCACCACACAGGTGATTTTCCTGGGCCGGCCAGACTGGAGGGGCCCCTGGAGGTAGATGTCCGGCCTGTGGGTCAGCGCTGGGGGAACAGACACAGCCTGGAGCAGGACCTGAGTGTCCCCAGGGGCAGCCTGTGACAGGCCGCCCCCCCTCCCCCCACCAAGGGGCCTCTCCCGGTGGACCTCAGCGTCCCTCACAAGACGAAGACATGGGGCCCCTCCCAGCCTCACCCGGGGCGCTCAGGACCCTCCCTTGTGTCCCTTCAGCACCCAGTTCTTACCTGTCACCAGTACAGAGAGCTGGTGGTTCATAAACTCATATAACACATAACTCTGTGTCTCCACCCTGAAGTAGTAGGTCCCCGTGTCCTCTCTCCGCGCGTCTCTGATGTCCAGGGAGCAGCTGTAGGTCCCGGGGTCCCCCAGCAGGTGGAATCGCCCCCGGGTCTCCTTCTGCACCACATGAGCTGTGTGGTTTGTGGCCGCTGGAGCTGTATCCCAGGACATTCCCCTTTTCTTGAACCAGGAGCCATAAACTATGCTTCCCGCAGTGTAACGTGGCCCAGGGTAGCCGCCTACTCAGGGCACGAGGACGCACTGGCCCTCCTGCACCATCACCCGCTCCTGCAGGCACAGCCAATAACTCTCCTCCTGAGCCAGGGATCCCGCGGGGAGACGAGGGTCAGTGCGGCCCCCGGCCCCGCCCCTCCCGTCCCCCACTCACCTGCCCACAGCAGGGGCAGCAGCAGCTGGGGCAGCATCACAGGGAGAGTCAAGGATCTGGGCATCACAGGCTGACGAAGCCGCGACGGAAGCCCAGATGGGGCAGTCACGAGTTGGCTGACCACAAGGAGGAACTTTCCACACTCTGTGTGCCAGGCCAGGGCTGCGTAGACACTTCCCCTCGGTTACGTGTGGGCTCGTGGGGCAGGAGGACCCGCCTGCAGCTCTCAGCTCCCGGCACAGCCAGACGCAGTCCCTTCAGGGGCCCCCGGGAGGCCCACCCAAGTGTGAGATCAGGAGGCGGCACCTGCAGGCATTCGAGATGGTGGTGCCCGGGTGGGGAAGAGGGGGTGATGAACAACCCGGGCCTGAGTGCATCTGCTCTTTTCAGGAAGCGAGTATCTGGGGTGGGGTGGGGGCGACCTTGCGTCTGTGCTTGAGAAGGTCCCTGTTGCCCAAGGGGCTCAGAGGCTGATGGATCTGCTGTGGGTTCAGGTGGAAGAGGTTGTCCAGGCAGGGCTTGTAGGGACCCCACTGCTCTGTGAGCTCCAAGGTGGGGTCCCAGGAGGGACAGACTAAGGGGACCTGGAATCCGAGGAGCACATGGTGGTCCTGGGCCCTTGGGTCCTGTCCCTGCTCTGCCTCAGGACCCCGGCGTGACCGGGTGAAGCAGCTTAGGCCCTGAGCTTCCTCGTCCTGGCCTTGGGGTGTTGCGCCTTGGCCAGGGGAGCTGCCAGCCCTGGGGAACAGGAGGAAGAGCTGACTCCCCCATTCAAGAAGGGCCCCCCTCAGTAGTTGTGGAGGAGCAGCCAGAGACACGGAGCTGAGGGCTGAGACTGGGGTCCAGACCAGGTCAGGGCCGTGTCCATGGCCGGGGTGTGAGGACACAGGCCAGACAGAGTGTGCGGCGGGGCCCGGGGCTGAGAGTCTGCAGGAAATGGATCTGATGGTCTGTGACAGACACACAAGTCACGTCGTGTGGGGAGTGTGAGCCTGAGCCTTGGGGTGCTCAGGCGCCGTAAGACGTTCACCCCAACACCTCGTCCCTTCCCTCTTGTGCTCGAGGGCCGGGGAGCGTGACCGCTCAGCCTGGGGAACTGTCTCCATGTCCCCGCAGCCCCCACATGTTTCCACACAGTTTGGCAGCTCCGCGAGCCGGTCCCCATCCACACCCACAATTGCTCTCTCGCAGGAAGCATTTTGGGGTGCTGAGGCGCGAGCAGCCGGCACTGAGCACGCTGGCCTGTCCCCGCAGGCCCAGCACGTCTAGTCCCGCCGTCACACCTCCGCTGTCTCGAGACCCTTCTCACCGTCCTGCCCTGGGTCTCTGCCCGGGAACTGTGACTCCTGCCCGGCGCCCGGCCCAGGCCTGGTCACCCCCAGATGTTGCCTTGCTTAGTTAGGGTAAAACCTAACAACCTTTACCACCTTGGCATTTTCCAGTGTGTGGTTCGGGGGTAACTAGAGGCCCACAGTCGTCCCCCAGATTCCGGAAGGTTTTCATTTGGCAAAACTGAAAGGCTGAACCTCCCCGAGCAGCTTCCTGTCCCCTCCTGGGTCTGCTCCAACCTCGGCTCTAAGGGCTGGTTTCTTTGGGGTGGCGCTGGCGTGTCGGGGAGACTCATCTCACTTAGCCACATCCTCAACACTGGCGATCTCACCCCTGTCTGTCCTTTTATTTATTTTATTTATTCATTTTTTAAATATGTGTTTTGTTTTTTTTTTGTTTATTTATACAAGCACTGGGTACAGTCAGAAGCGCGGGAGGGTGAGAGAATTCACCAGAGCCAGAGCGGGGAGCAGAGCAGGCAGAAGGACCGAAGGACACTGCTGAGGGGAGCAGCGGGCGGCAGGAGAGGTCTGCGCGCCATGTGGGACCCTCCTCTGGTGGCCGGGGAGCAGCCGGGGATCGAACCGGCGCTGCAGAGGCTGCGTGCAGCTTCGCAGCCCAGCGCTCAACCGCTGCGCCCCCAGGGAGGCCCTACTTTTGTCCTTTTAGAACTGGGGTGATCTCAGCAGCCAGCCTGGGGGGTTATGTGCATGTTTAGCTGGATGAGGAAACGTGAGCCCCCAGAGAGTTACTTCTAGAAATAGATTCACGGGACCCCCCCCTGGTGGCCTAGGGGTTAAAGGCTCAGGGCTTCCACCGGGAAGGCCCACTGTGACAGCCAGGGCCTGAGTTTGATCCCCACATGACACAGACCTCGCCTGTCTCCCCGCTGCTCCCCTCAGCAGTGGATTTCAGTAGATCCGCCTGTTCTGCTCCCCACTCTGGTTCTGATCAGTCCACACCCACCCCCCCATCTCGGGCTTAGGGCCCACTTCTTCTAAACACGCAGACAAAAAAATAGAAATAGTTTCACATTGTGAAATCCCCCACATTCCTAGTATAGCCAAGCAGAAGTGCCGTGGGGAAGGGGGGAGCTGACCAGTCAGCAACACGGGGTGCATTTCCCGCCTTGTGCACATGCACCCACTTTACAGCGAGGGAGCTGAGGCCGGAGAGTGACGGGGACGCGTGTCTAAGCGGCTGGGCTGGGCGTGACCCGGGAGCTCCGGCTCCATCTGTCCCAGGAGCCCCGAGCTTGCCTTTGTGACCTTTGTGACCTCGCTGAGGCGTCAGCTCTGCAGGGAGCGCAGGACCCTCTGTCCTCAGAGAGGCCTTTTTTGGGGCTCCAGCGTCGGGAGGAGGGCAGGAGAGGGCGATCTGCGTTGGGGTTGACCTTAAAGTACTCGGAGGCCTGGACCAGAAAGGCCCTGGGGGTCGCCTTGGGGAGCCCGAGGTTGGCATAATGCAGCTCCTGCTCCTCCTTTAAGGGGACACCACCGGGCCCAGGGGGTGCAGGGGGTTGTCAGCCCAGGATCCGCCCTGGTGACCCTGAGAGGGACGAGATAAGGCTCAGGGTCCGCCTCAGGTTCCGGAGAAGAGTGGGCTCAGGGGTGTCTGTTCCCTTGTCCAGTTACACCCAGTCCGGAGGGTCCTTTACACTCACACACTCACTCCCACACACTCACACACTCACATACTTACACTCATTCACAAACTCACACCTTTAACATATCTCCATGATTTCCTGTCCCTGGTCTGAACCCCCACCTCCCTTCTGGGGGACACTGATGGCGGCTCCTGGTGACACCCCGGGGAGGGTCCCAGGGGCAGGAGCACAGGCGGGAACGAGCTGCACAGGGACGTGTGCGGAGGCGCAGCCATGGGGGACACGGAGCCTGAGGTCACCGTATAGTCCCGGGCCCCTCAGATCTACCCGGGCAGCCCCAACATAGAAACCACCCCGAGGCCGGCCCAGGGAGCACGGGAGGAGCAGGAGCTCATGCTGCACACGGAGGAGCCGGAGGCCGAGGCCGCTGTGGGCCCAGGCCCTGGAGAGGCAGAGCCCTCCTGTCTCTGCACTGCCTCCGCCCTGGCCCTGTGATCTGATGCCCTGCCCTGTGGGGGTGCCCAGCCTCTCTGCCTGGGGGAACTCCCCGCAGCTGCTGAAAGGGGAGCTCTGGGGAGACTCTCCTCACAGGACCCGAGGACCCGGCTCTCTGACCCCACATCCGTGCGTTTGTCTGTCTGTCCTCCTGGGCAGTGTGCTGGCGGGACAGTGATAGCCCTGCAGGAGGCTCCGGGGATTTCTGCCCCACCCGTTGTGGGGGCGGCAGGGCTGGGGCTGAGTGACAGCTGTTGGGGGGTTTCTTGCCAGAGCTTTTTTGGGGAGGGAAGCTGGGGGCATGGGGCGGGGAGAGCAGGGAACCTGAGAGAATCCTGGGCTCAGAGGGCTCACTGGGGAGGAGAGGAGGGGTGGGAAAAGCTTTGCAAAGAAGGGGCCTGGCCTGGACTTGGTGCCTTCCAGGAGGGGGTGAGGGGGGCTCAGGCTCTGGGTCAAGAGCTCAGGGAGGCCAGGGGAGGAACGGGATGTGACCAGGGAACCCTTTTTGACCTGGACAGAGCCCCAGGCACAGCCCCAGAGGTCAGGCTGACCTGAGCCTGCAGAGTCCCTGAGTCACTCACCCCGGGGGTTCTCCCTCAGGCCTGGGGGCCTGGCCTGCTCCCTGCTGCCTCCTTCTGTGCTTTTCTTCCTGTTTCTCTTCACTCTGTGGGGAAGACCAGGCCCTTCAGCCAGCTGCTCACAGGGGGGCACTAGGTAGGCTGCTCTGGGCAGAGACCCCAGGGGACAGACTCGCCTTCATCCCTGGACAGGGAGCTTTGGCTGAGCCCCCCCCCAACCCCCTTACTGCCTGTGAGGGCTTCAGGGGGACCCCGACTCACATGAGGAAGACGAGGCCGAGCAAGATGAAGGATTTGGCGCCCAGTCCCACCAAGGGCCCCAAAAGCCCCCCTGTCCTCGCTCCCGCTGCGCCTGCAGACAGAGGCCTGGGTGACTCCTGCCCTGAGCAGACACCAGGCCCCAAGGTTGCTCCTCTCCCAGGCCCGGGAGCACCCAGTTCTCTCCAGGGTCTGGGGGAGAATCAGGTCAGGCCAGAGGGGCCCGGGTGAGGGAATTCACCAGAGACCGGGTGGAAAACAGAAAAGCTGGGTTCATGGAAATGCGCTCACTGAGAGAGCAGAGGTGACATGGGGCAACTGCAGACAGAGAGTGACCCGAGGCTCTATCACGCTCCAGGCATCATGGCCTGTTGGGGTGACTGGTCCTGGGGTTCCCTTGGGGATGATGGGTCTAGAGGATCAGCCGCTCAGTGTCCGGGTGCCAGGGCAGCCCCATCCACTGCCCTTATCCTTTCAAACTTGCTGGGCAAGGAAGTGGGTGGGGTTTTAAATTGATAGAGACATCCAGGACTTGTCCTCTGTCCCCCATCCTAGGGGGCAGCCTATGCCCCACAGAGGCCCTGAAGGCTGGTGCCCCTGGTTCAGGCAGGCCCCTTCCCTCGGTGTGCCCAGGACTCAGGAAGTGCAGGGAAAGTACAGCTCCAGGGCATGGGGGTGCTGTGGGGAAGATGGGAGCATGAAGGCAGCCTCTCCCCTCTCTGGGCAGCAGACCCCCCCGGGGGTGCTGACTCACTCTCCACAGACAGACTCAGGGAAGCCTCCTGGGAGCCCAGGGGGTTCTGAGCACAGCAGAGGAGTTTCCCTTGTTCCTCCAGGGGCCCCTTGGACAGCTCCAGCTCCAGGGTCTGGGGGTGCTCCCACATGGCTCCCGCACCCACGGGGTTTAGGCTTGGAGAGGACTTCACGGTCAGGCTCCCCCGGACCCAGGTCAGCCTGGCGGGAGGGCTGCTGTGGACCACACAGGCCAGGCGCAGGGACTGGCCCTCCTGCACCGGGAGAGAGGAGCCGTTGCCCAGGACTTCAGGTCCTGCAGAGAGAGAAAGTAAGTCCAGGCTCTCATTCTGGGTCACGCTGTGAGGTTTGATCACCCCCTCTGTCGCATTTTTTTTGCAGCCCCTGTTGATTTAGGCCAACTCTATGGTCATTGTTTTAAAGAGTAAGTTGTAGCAGGAGGGAGATCCTAAGGAGGTGGATAGATCATTAGGAGCATAAGGGCAGAATTGGGGAGGAGAAAGTGGACCTGACACAGGGGACATGCTCTTCTTTAGACAAGGGACGGGCCATCGGACACCCCACCGGGCAGGATCAGTGGTGGGGGAGCCCTTGTGTGAGCTGAAGAGCCCGTAGGGATTCTCACCTCCGCTGTCCCCCAGTAGATTGAGGCCTTTCTCCCATGTGTGTTCTGAGACCCCAGCTCTGATTTGAAAGGTGGGACAAACCCCAGATCACCCACTCCCCAGAGAGGTGACCCCCCTCCCTACCTGAACCTTCTTTCCTGATCACCTGGATGGTCAGGTTCTGGGGCGCATCTGGACAGACAGACAGAATTGTTGTCCTTCACTAGGCCTTTCCCCGAGGAACATGAGACATGGAGGATACAGCCAGGGGCCTCTTTCCCTCCTCCCAGCAGGATCTGTGGGCCCACACCCCAGACCCTGCATCTCTTACTCCAACATCCGCCACCCCGGGGACCCCTCAGGCCGGGTGTCCGGGCCCAACACTCACAGCCCACGCTGAGCCGGATGGTGGTCTCTGTGCTCACACCCGCTGCAGGGAAGGTCACCCGGCAGGTGAGGCTGGAGCCGTGGTGCTGGGGCCCCGGGCTGAGGGTGAGCACCGGGGAGTCGGTGCTCGTGGTGCTGAGGCCGACCCCTGTCCAGGAGAAGGTGGGGGGTGTCCCCCTCTCACAGGCCCAGGGCGCCGCGCAGGTGATGTTCCTGGGCCGGCCAGACTGGAGGAGCCCCAGGTGGTGGATGTCTGGTGTGTGGGTCAGCGCTGGGGGGACAGACACAGCCTGGAGCAGGACCACAGTGTCCCCAGGGGCAGCCTGTGTCAGGCCGCCCGCCCACCAGGGTCCATTCCCCACAGATGAAAGGGTCCCTCACAAGATGAAGACATGGGGCCCCTCCCAGCCTCACCCGGGGCGCTCAGGACCCTCCTGTGCATCCCTCCTGCACTCGGCCCTTACCTGTCACGGTTACGGAGAGCTGCTGATTCACGTAACTATATTTTACATAATCCCCTCTCTCCACCCTGAAGTGGTAGGTCCCCGTGTCCTCTCTCCGCGCGTCTCTGATGTCCAGGGTGCAGTTGTATTTCTGGGGCTCCCCCAGCAGGTGGAAGCGGCCACGGGTCTCCCGATGCACATCATAACCTGGGTGGTTTGTGGCCACCAGTGCAAACTCTGTACCCAGAGACTCTCTCCTTTTTCTGTACCAGTGGCCGTAAGCGGGGCTTCCTGCAGTGTGACCTGACCAGGGGTAGGAGACTTCGCAGGGCACGAGGACGCACTGGCCCTCCTGCACCGTCACCCGCTCCTGCAGGCGCAACCAGAATCTCCGATCCTGAGCCAGGGCCCCTGGGGAGAGATGAGGGTCAGTGCAGCCCCGGACCCAGGCCCCACCCCCCCTCCACTCACCTGCCCACAGCAGGGGCAACAGCAGCAGCAGCGGCAGCAGCATCGAGGCGAAAGTTCCGGGTCTGAGTGTCACAGCTGAGGAAGCCCGGACAGAAGCCCAGATGGGGCAGATACAAATTAGCTGACCACAGGGAGGAACTTCGCACACCCTGTGTGTGCCAGGCCCGGCCCTGCATAGAGACCTTTCTCCTCCCTGGTCACGGAGGGCTGGTGGGGCAGGAGGACCCACCTGCGGCTCTCAGCTCCCTGCACAGGGGGATGCAGGCCCTGCAGAGTGTCCCCAGGGGTGACCCCCTGGTGTGGGCTCAGGAGAGGGCACCTGTAGTCGTTAGAGATGGGTGATGTCCCCCTCTGGCCTCGGGGGACATCTGCTTTCAGGGGAAGGGGTAACTGGGGGGCTGCCTTGGATCTGTGCTTGAGATGGTCCCTGATGACGGAGGGTCACAGAGGCCATTGCAGCTGCTGTGGCTTTAGGAGGAGAAGGTTGTCCAGGCAGGGCCTGTAGGGACCCCACTGCTCTGTGGCCTCAAAGGTGGGGCCCCAGGAGGGACAGGCTGGATAGTTTGGGGCCTGGATTCTGAGGGGACCTGGTGGTCATGGGGCCTCCTGACCTGGGTGCACTGCCCCAGGACCCCGGTGTGACTGGCTGGCCAGACCTGAGGCTCAGTCATCATCATCTCATCACAGTGTGACGTTGGGGATGGCCGGCTTTGGTGTCAGGTAGCCCGGGCCCTTGTCCCCGCCAGGCCTCAGTGTCCTCGGCTGTCACAGGGAGGATCCCAGTTCTCCCCTGGCCTGGGGAGAGTCCCACGTGAGGGTGGGGTGGTGCTTCCCACAGACTCGGGGTGTCTTCCTGGGGTCGGGGTCAGTCCCGCCCTTCCCCTGGCCCTGAGGCCTGTGGCTTGGTGTGTCTGGGCCTTGCAGCTTCTCTGGCACAATCAGACGCAGTAACAGCTCGTGCTCATGCTGAGGGAGCCTCTGTTTCCTCTGGGGACCCGCATCTCTCACAGTTAGAGCAGCACAGCCCCGGGGTCTGGGGCTTAGAGTTCTCTGTGGCTTCTCCCGCAGGGCAGGACGGGTGGAGGGGGCGAGGCCAGGTGAGAAGACGCATCTCCTAAACAGGTGCCATGTGGGGAGCGACACGTGTTGACTGGTTTTCTGTGCAGGCCCAGAGCTCGGCCAGCCCAGGTCCCCAGAGTCACGCCCGCTGTGGGGAAGGTCACCGACAGGTGATTCTAGAGCCGTGGTGCTGGGGCCCCGGGCTGAGGGTGAGCACCGGGGAGTTGGTGCCCGTGGCACTGAGGCCAACCCTGTCCAGGAGAAGCGGGGGTGCACCCCTGCCACAGGCCCAGGGCGCCGCACAGGTCATGTTCCCTGCCCGGCCAGACTGCAGGTCCCTGGAGGTGCACGTCTAGCCTGTGGGTCAGTGCTGGGGGGACAGACACAGCCTAGAGCAGGACCTGAGTGTTCCTCGGGGCAGCCTGTGTCAGGCCGTCGGCCCCACCCACCCAGCCCATGTATGTCCACTGCCTCCTCCCAGCTTTGAAGCAGGGGATCCCCTCCAGTTTTGCCCTGAGGTCCCTTAGGACCCCTCCTAGACCCCGTTCCGCACCTGTCTCTTAACAGGGAGCTGCAGGGTCTGAAACGACCCCATATACCTTCTCCCCCGCGAGAGGCAGTAGGTCCCCTAGTCCACCCCGGGGCGTCCCTGATGTCCATGGAGCGTCACGGTTCTCTGAACTCCAATGAGGGGACTCAGCCCTGGGTCTCATCCTGCACCCCCCGATCTGGATGTCGGGGCTTTCCCCACCATGTCAGCCTGAGACCTTCTGCTTTCCCAGACCCTGTAGCCGCCGCTTCTTTAAGGCAGCCAGGGCTCAGGGCGTTTCCCACAGCTGGCGTGGAAGATGCTGGAACAGGTCAATTTTAGCTCCCGCTCTCAAGTGGCTCTGACGTCACCCCTGTTCTCCCCCTGCAGACTCTCAGGCCGGTGGCGCAAGAGAAAGTGTCCCCGTGTGCACGTGTTTCCAAACCAGAGTCAGTGGAGAACGTTCCTTCCGTCTTCCCAGCATAAAGAGTTTCATGTGGTCCTTGGGTCATGAGGACAGAGTCTCCTGCCAGTGAAACGTCACTGTGGCCTGGTGATTGGTGCCCCATGTGTGGGTTTCACCGGAGATTCATATCAGCTCCATTGGCTGGAGATTTCTGTGAGTTTTTGTGGTGTTTCTTTCATGAGCTTTACCTTTTTGTTTGAAGATTTATTTATGCATACAAGAACTTGGGGTACAGGCTATAGGAGCAGGAGGGAGAGAGGATTCACAAGACACAGAGCAGGGAGCAGAACAGGCAGAAGGACCGAAATCCCCTGCCGAGGGGAGCAGCGGGGAGTCAGGAGAGGTCTGCTGCGCCTTGTGGGCAGCTCCCTGGCTGGGGATGGAAGTCGAGCTGCAGCGGCTGCAGACAGCCTCATAGGTTGCGCCTTCACCCCTGCGCCCCCAGGGAGGCCCCAGACCTTGTGTTGTTCAACAGGAACCATGCCCGTGGGGCTGAGGTTGCACAAAACGTCAGAATCACTCTATGGCCATTTACAGTAGATGAGCTCATTATTTTAATATTTATATTAATATTTCTATTAAAATATTATATAATTAAATATTATATTTTTAAATATTATTTTTAAATATTTTAAAATATTATATAATATTGTTAAATGTTATATATATTATATAAATTTTAAATATTATATATAGTATATAAATATTATATAATTATAATATATTATATAATTATATAATTATATATTATATAATTATTATATAATTATATTTTTAAATATTATATAATTATATTTTTATATATTATATATTATATATTTTGTATATTATATTTTTAAATATTATCATATTTAATATATTATTATATTAATATATTATTAATAATATATTATATTAATGTATTATTATATTATAAATATTATTATATATTATATATTATATTTTTAAATATTATATTTATATTATATTTATAAAATATTATATTTATATTAAAACATTGCTTACTAGCTCGAAATTTAATGTCAGTAAAATTATTAATTTAGTATTTAAATTAAATATACAAATTAATTATGTTGTATATGTAATTATATTGTAACAAATTTTAGAAATGTAATTTAAATGTTAAAATACTATTTTTAGTTACTTTAAATTTAGATGCAGTAATGTTCCTTTTACCATGTTCCGGAATCTTCCCAGCATCCCAGGAAGGGCTGAAGCAGCTCACGCTGGTTTGGGCCCTGAGCATCCTGGTTGTGGCCATGGGGTGTTCAGCTTTGGCCAGGGGAGCTCCCAGCCCTGGGGGATGGGAGGAGGAGCTGACTCCCCCATTCAGGAAGGGGCCCCCTCAGTGATCTGTGGGAGGAGCAGCCAGAGACATGGGGCTGAGGGCTGAGACTGGGGTCCAGGCCAGGTCGGGGCCGTGTCCATGGCCGGGGTGTGAGGACACAGGCCAGACAGAGTGTGCGGCGGGGCCCGGGGCTGAGAGTCTGCAGGAAATGGATCTGATGGTCTGTGACAGACACACAAGTCACGTCGCGTGGGGAGTCTGAGCCTGAGCCTTGGGGTGCTCGTGGCGCCGGAAGACGTTCACCCCAACACCTTGTCCCTTCCCTTTTGTGCTCGAGGGCCGGGGAGCGTGACCGCTCGGCCTGGGGTAACTGTCTCCGCGTCCCCGCAGCCCCCACATGTTTCCACGCGGTTTGGCAGCTCCGCGAGCCGGTCCCCATCTGCACCCACACTCGCTCTCTCGCAGCAAACATTTTGGGGTGCTGAGGCGCATGCAGCCAGCACTGAGCGCGCTGACGTGTCCCCGCAGACCCAGCACGTCTGGTCCCGCCGTCACACCTCCGCCGTCTCGGGACCTTCTCACCGTCCTCCCCTGGGTCTCTGCCCGGGAACTGTGACTGGCGCCCGGCCCAGGCCTGGTCACCCCCAGCTGTTGCTTTGCTTAATTAGGGTGAACCTAACAACCTTTACCACCTTGGCATTTTCCAGTGTGTGGTTCGGGGGTAGCCAGAGGCCCACAATCGTCCCCCAGATTCCGGAAGGTTTTCATTTTGCAAAACTGAAAGGCTGAACCTCCACGAGCAGCTTCCTGTCCCCTCCCGGGTCTGCTCCAGCCCCGGCTCTAAGGGCTGGTTTCTTTGGGGTGGCGCTGGCCTGTCTGGGAGACTCATCTCACTTAGCCACATCCTCAACACTGGCGATCTCACCCCTACTTCTGTCCTTTTAGACACTGGGGAGGCCTCAGAGCCCAGCCCAGGGTTTATGTGCAAGTTTAGCTGGATGAGGAAACTGGTCTCCCCCAGAGTGTTACATTGGGAAATAGATGTAGGGTGTCCTTCCTGGTGGCCTAGGGGTTAAAGGCTCAGTGCTACCTCCCGGAAGGCCCACTGACTGAGTTGGCCTGGGCCTGAGTTTGATCCCTGGCCAAGGAGCTGACCCACAAGGTGCAGCAGACCTCGCCTGTCTCCCCGCTGCTCCCCTCAGCAGCGCATTTTAGTCGACGCGCCTGTTCTGCTCCCAATCTGTCTCTGGTGAGTCCTCTCACCCCCTCCATCTGGCCTACACCCCACATCTACACACACACACACACAAAATAGAAATAGAACATATTGTGAAATAGCAAGTTACTCAAACAGCCAAGCGGAAGGGCCGCTGGGCGGAGGCGGGGGGGAGCTGCCCAGTCGGCAACACGGGGTGCATTTCCCGCCTTGTGCACATGCGCCCACTTTACAGCGGAGGGAGCTGAGGCCGGAGAGTGACGGGGACGCGTGTCTAAGCGGCTGGGCTGGGCGTGACCCGGGAGCTCCGGCTCCATCTGTCCCAGGAGCCCCGAGCTCGCCTTTCTGACCTCGCTGAGGCGGCAGCTCTGCAGGGAGCGCAGGACCCGCTGTCCTCAGAGAGGCCTTTTTGGGGCTCCAGCGTCGGGAGAGGGTCAGGAGAGGGCGGCTCCTTTGATCTGGGCGTACTCGGAGGCCTCCTGGACCAGAAAGGCCCTGGGGTTTGCCTTGGGGAGCCCGAGGGAGGCGTAATGCAGCTCCTGCTCCTCCTCTGAGGGGGTCACCGCCGGGCCCCAGGGGTGCGGGGGGCTGTCAGACCAGGATCCGCCCTGGTGACCCTGAGAGGGAAGAGATAAGGCTCAGGGTCGGGAGAAGGGACCTGGGCTCAGGGGTGTCTGTTCCCTTATCCGTTCACACCCACTCCTGAGGGTCGTTCTCACTCACTCACCCACTCTCTCCTCTAGCAGGTTTGCCTCATAGTGATAGTGTTCTTACCACTAGCCCCCTGAACCTCCACCCCCTGCCTGGGTGATGTCACATTGCCCCATTTTACAGACATGCAGACACAGTGGCGTCCTGTGCCCCCACCACACAGACCTGACCTGGGCGCCTGCAGACCAAGGGGGGCGTCCCCTGATCCCCACACTCCACACAATCTTCTCTACTTGCAAATCGGGGTGTGAGGGTGATGCGAGGGTTGTGGGGGGGGGTTCTGGGGTCTGCAGTGGACGTGGCCTGTCAGGGCGGGCAGTGGGTGGGCACAGCCCTGTGACTGCTCCCCTGCCGGGCCCAGGGGGGTGAGTTGAAATGGGGCTAAAAAGACTCCGAGGCTCCAGCCCCCACGTGGGGAGGACGGGTCAGGACGGGACCCACAGGCACAGAGAACCCTCAGGGCCCTGCCCGGCCACAGGCTCCATTGTGGGGAGGGAGGAGGGGCTGCAGCTGGGCAGGGAGTCCCAGAGCCAGGGGCGGGAGCGTGACCCTGGGGGAGGCGCCGAGCCCCCAACTGTACCCAGGATCTCCAGGATAAGGGTAGGTGCCAGGTTCCCCGCCCCACCCAAGGGGGCTGGAGCTGAGCAGGGAGAGCTGGAGAGGAGCCTGGGGAGAAAGGAGGAAGATGGGGAGCAGGAGGGGCGGGGGAGCACGTGGAGCAGAGACAGTGAAGACTCTGAGCTTGTCTTGGTCCTGGGCGGGGTGACACAGATAGGGGGAGGCCCGTGGGGAGGGGACAGGGCAGCTGATCTGAGCCTCTTCTGTCCCTTCCCTGTGGTCCCCCAGCAGGGGCCCTAGATGCATGGCAGCCTCTCAGTGCCCTGCTCTGGGCTTTTACCCGCAGGGCACGGGTGACTTTGGTGCTTGACTTTAACCCTTTACTCTCTGTCCGTCTGGGCGGGGACTGACGGCGTTGGACCTCCTGTCCCTGCCGCTCTCCCCGCTGGACTGTGTTTGCCTCGATAGGGCGATGGCAGAACCGATGCCAGGCGGGCAGGGTCGGGGGAATCTGGGCGCCCCCTCCCTGCCGGGTGACACAGCCCCGCGTGGCGAGAGAGGACAGGACCTGAGGCGGGTCAGACGCGAGCTGCTGTGTCCGTGGCATCCACATGTTCCCACAGACTCTCCCCAGCAGAGGCGCCATCGCGGGCGGAGTTGGGCTGTGAGCGGGTGTGCGCCGGTGTGGGCACCACGGGGTGGGGTGTGGGTGAGGTCAGGACATTTGGGGGCGCGGCACAGACCAGACCCACAGGCAGGGCTTGTTTGTGGAGGGGAGCTGGGGCGGGGGGGGAAAGGCCAGGGACCCCGAGAGAACCCCAGGGCTCGGAGGGCTCAGTGGGGAAGGGGGGGAAAGAAAAGCTTTGCCCAGAGGGGCCTGACCTGGCCTTGGCGGGTCCTATGACGGTGTGAGGGAGGCTCAGTGTCTAGGTTGAGAGATCCAGGGAGGCCAGGGGAGGGATGGGGTGTAGAGGAGGGAGTCCTTTTTGCCTTGGAGCAGAGCCCCAGGCACAGCCCAGGAGGGTCCAGCTGACCTGAGCCCGCAGAAGACCCTGAGTCACTCACCCCGGGGGTTCTCCCTGCGGCCTGGGGCCCTGGCCTGCTCCCTGCTGTCTGCTCTGTCCCTTTCTTCCTGCAGAGCCTCACTCTGTGGAGGAGACCAGGCCTTTCAGACCTGCACGATGCCCCGGGAGCCTGAAGGGCTGTGGGAGGTGGGTGGGGGCGGCTCTGGGCAGAGACCCCAGAGCACAGACTCGCTGGGGCGTTTCAGCATCACAGCCCCTGACTCACCCCACAGGCCTCCATCACGGGTGTGGAGATGTGGAGTCTTCTAGCCCGTTCCTCCCCCACCCGAGCCCACTTGCAGGTCTTCAAGGGGACCCGGACTCACATATAAAAGACCAGGCCGAGCGCCAGCAGCGCTGAGACTCCTGCTCCCCCGACGGCCCCCAGAAGCACCCAACTCCTGGCTCCTGCTGGGCCTGCAACAAGGGGACCTGAGTGACCTCTGTCCCCTGGCAGTCACCAGACACCCAGAGGCTCACGCACGACCACCCACTTCTCTCCAAGACTTGTGCTCTGGGCCAATCTGCTAAGTGTGCAACCTCTGTCACCCCAAAGCCCTCCCAGCCATCCTAGGAGACCCTGAAATCTGGTGCCCCTTGGCCCTGATGAGGCCCCTCCCCCTCTCCTGTCCCCAGGAGCCCAGGTCAGTGTCCCTTCCCAGAGTAGCCCCCACTGGCCCCAGCTCAGGGAGGGGCAGCTGCAGAGCAGACCCTGGTGGTCCCAGGGCAGCAGGCACCCCGCAGCTGTGTGGGTGGGGTGCTGTGGTGTGATGGGGCATCAAGGCAGCCTCTCCTCTCCCTGGGCAGCAGAAGCCTCCGGGGGTGCTGACTCACTCTCCACAAAGAGACTCAGGGAGGCCTCCTGGGAGCCCAGGGGGTTCTGAGCGTGGCAGAGGAGTTTCCCGTGGTCCTCCAGGCGCACCCCGGCCAGCTCCAGCTCCAGGGTCTGGGGGTGCTCCCACGCGCCTCCCACAATGACGGGGGTTAGGCTTAAAGAGGACTTCACGGTCAGGTTCCCCTGCACCCAGGTCAGATTGGCAGGAGGGCTGCTGTGGACCACACAGGCCAGGCGCAGGGACTGGCCCTCCTGCACCGGGAGAGAGGAGCCGTTGCCCAGGGCTTCAGGTTCTGGAGAGAAAGAGATTTCAGGCCTTTATTAGGGGTTCACCATGTGAAGTTTGATCACCCCTCTGTGGCATTGTGTTCTGTAGCCCCTGCTGACTGAGGCCAATTTTTTGGTCATTATTTTAAAGAGTAAATTGTTGCAAGAGGGAGATCCTAAGGAGGTGGATAGATCTTAAGGAGCGTGTGGGCAGAATTGGGGAGGAGGAAGTCAAACTGGCATTGGGGATAAGCACATCATAAGGAAAGGGAGAGACCACAGGACACCCCAGGGAGCAGGGTCATCGGCAGGGGAGTCCTGGTGTGAGCTGAACCCTGTGGGTTCCCAACTTGCTGTCCTCCACCTTGCAAAGGCCTTTCTCCCATGTGTTCTCACCCCGGCTCTGCTCTGAAAGATCAAGACAGACCCCAAATCCCGCACAGATTAGAGATCAGCTTGCTCCCTACCTGAGCCTTCTTTCCTGATCACCCGGATAGTGAGGTTCTGGGGCGCATCTGGACAGACAGACAGAATTATTCTCCTTTATCTGGCCTTCCCCCAGGAACATGAGACATGGGAGGTATAGTCAGGGCCCATGAAGGCTGGTGCTCCTGACTCAGTGCCAGGCCCCAACCCACAGTGTGCCCAGGACACAAGAAGCACTGGGAGGGGTCAGCTCCCAGGAGCTGGGGTACTGTGGGGAGTGTTGGGGGCATCAGGGCAGCCTCTCCCCTCCCTGGGAAGCAGAAGCCCCGGGGGTGCTGACTCACACTCCACAGAGAGACTCAGGGAGGCCTCCTGGGAGCCCAGGGGGTTCTGAGCGTGGCAGAGGAGTTTCCCGTGGTCCTCCAGGTGCACCCTGGCCAGCTCCAGCTCCAGGGTCTGGGGGTGCTCCCACGTGCCAACCGCACCCACGGGGTTTAGGCTTGGAGAGGACTTCACGGTCAGGTTCCCCCTGAGCCAGGTCAGCCTGGCGGGAGGGCTGCTGTGGACCACACAGGCCAGGCGTAGGGACTGGCCCTCCCTCACTGGGAGAGAGGAGCCGTTGCCCAGGGCTTCAGGTCCTGAGAGAGATTTCAAGCCTTTATTAGGGTTCACCCTGTGAGGTTTGATCACTCCTGTGTGGCATTTTGTTCTGCAGCCCCTGCTGACTGAGGCCAATTTTATGGTCATTATTTTACATAAGTTGTAGCAGGAGGGAGATGCTGAGGAGGTGCATAGAGCATAAGGAACATGAGGACAGAATTGGGGAGGAGGAGGTAGAACTAGTCCTGGGGATAAGCACATCATAAGGAAAGGGAGAGACCATAGGACACCCCAGGGAGCAGGGTCACGGATTGGGGGAGTCCATGTGTGAGCTGAGAGCCCGTGGGGTTTCCCAACTCTGCTGCCCCCCCCCCACCGGCAAACGCCTTTCTCCCACGTGTGTTCTCCCCCCAGCTCTTCTTTGAGGGTAAGGACAAACCCCACTTCCCTCACACCTTTAGAGGTGACCTCGCTCCCTACCTGAGCCTTCTTCCCTGATCACCTGGATGGCCAGGTTCTGGGGCGCATCTGGACAGACAGACAGAATTGTTCTCCGTCAGCTGGCCTTCCCCCAGGAACATGAGACAGGGAGGATGCAGCCAGGGCCCTCTTCCCTCCTTCCAACAGGATTTGTGAGGCCCACACCCCAGACCCCACGTCTCCCTTTCCTACATCTGCTGCCCTGGGGACCCCTCGGGCCAGGCATCCGGGCCCCACACTCACAGGTCACGGTGAGCCGGACGGTGGTCTCTGTGCTCACACCCGCTGCAGGGAAGGTCACCCGGCAGGTGAGGCTGGAGCCGTGGTGCTGGGGCCCCGGGCTGAGGGTGAGCACCGGGGAGTCGGTGCCCGTGGCGCTGAGGCCGACCCCCCTCCAGGAGAAGGTGGGGAGTGTTCCCCTCTCACAGGCCCAGGGCGCCGCACAGGTGATGTTGCTGGGCCGGCCAGCCTGGAGGGGCCCCTGGAGGTGGATGTCCGGCCTGTGGGTCAGCGCTGGGGGGACAGAGAGGGCCTGGAGCAGGACCTGAGTGTCCCCAGGGGCAGCCTGTGTCAGGCCGCCCGCCCCCGCGCCCCCCGGGTCTTTTTCCCGCAGACCTTAGGGTCCCACACAAGGTGAAGACATTGGGCCCCTCCCAGCCTCTCCCGGGGCGCTCAGGACCCTCCTGTGAGTCCTTCCTCCACCCGGCCCTTACCTGTCACGGTTACAGAGAGTGGCTGATTCCCGTAACTATAACTCACAGGACCTCTCTCCACCATGAAGTAGTAGGTCCCCGTGTCCTCTCTCCGCGCGTCTCTGATGTCCAGGGAGCAGCTGTAGGTCTGGGGGTCCCCCAGCAGGTGGAAGCGACCCTGGGTTTTCGTCTGCATCTTACTAAGTGGGTGGTTTGTGGTCACTAGAATAAAGTGTGGACCCCAAGACCCTACCTCTTCTCTGTACCAGTAGCCGTAGGCTGGGCTGTGCTCACTGTAACCTCCTCTGGGGTAGGAGAAGTCGCAGGGCACGAGGGCGCACTGGCCCTCCTGCACCGTCACCCGCTCCTGCAGGCGCAACCAGGTTCTCAGATCCTGGGCCAGGGCCACTGCGGGGAGAGGATGGTCAGTGCAGCCCCCGCCCTGGGCCCTCCCCTCCCCCACTCACCTGCCCACAGCAGGGGCAGCAGCAGCAACAGAGGTGGCAGCAGCATGGGGGAGAGTCTGGGTCTGAGAGGAAGCCCCAAAAGAGCCCCAAGCTGGTGACTATGGTGTCTGACCACAGGGAGGAGCTTCCCACACTGTGCGCCAGGCCAGGCTGTGTGGACACTTCTCCTCCCGGGTCATGTGAGGGCTCGTGGGCAGGAGGACCTGCCTGCAGCTCTCGGCTCCCTGCGCAGCGGGATGCAGGCCCTGCAGGGGTCCCGAGGGGCCAACCCCCTGGTGTGGGCTCAGGAGGGGGCACCTGCAGGCCTTAGAGATGGTGGGGTCCAGGTGAGGGAGGAGGGGTTGATGAACAACCCCGGTCTTGGGGGCATCTGCTCCTTTCAGGAGGGGGGTTCTGGGGGTGGGGGTGGCTTTGCCTCTGTGCTTGAGAAACTCCCTGGTGCCGGAGGGGCTCGGGCTTGTTTCAGCTGCCGTGGCTCCTGGTGAAGGAGGTTGTCCAGGCAGGGCATGGAGGGACCCTGACTCCTCTCTGATCTCCAAGGTGGGGTCCCAGGATGTACGGGGTGGAGAGAATGGGGCCTGGACTATGAGGGGGACACGTTATTCCTGGAGCCTCCTGACCTGGGTGCTCTGCCCCGGACCCCACTATGACAGAGTGATCAGGCTGAGTCTCAGCCTGATCTGATGATGACATCACAGGTTGACGATGGAGACACCTGACTCTGGAGTCATGAGGGCCTGGCACTTGTCCTCACCAGGCCTTAGTGTCCTCGGCCGTCACAGGGAGGATACGAGTTCTCCCCTGGCCTGGGGACGGTACAACATGAGGGTGGGGTGGTGCTTCCTGAGCCTCGGGGTGTCCTCCTTGGTCAGGATCAGCCCTGCCTGTCTCTGGGCGCCTGTGTGCTTTGCTTGTGTGTGTCTAGGCGCAGGATGCCGGACAACTCCTGACAGGTCCTGTAACTACTTAGGCCAGAGGTGTGGGGGATTCACCAGAGACAGAGCGGGGAGCAGAACAGGCAGATCCACTGAAATCCACTGCTGAGGGGAGCAGCGCGGGGACGGGAGAGGTCTGCTGCGCCTTGTGGGCCAGCTACCCGGCCGAGACTTAACCCCTACACCACCAGGGAGGCTCCGCCATCTCTGAATTGTTCACCGTCTTGTAGACATTTTTTAACAAAGATTTATTTATGCATACAAGAACTGGGGTACCGCCCAGAGGTGCAGGGGGTCCAGACAATTCACCAGAGAAAGGGTAAGGAGCAGAATAGGCGGATCCCCTGAAATCCACTGCTGAGGGGAGCAGCGGGGAGACAGGAGAGTCTGCTGCGCCCTGTGGGTAGCCTCCTGGCTGGGGGTGGACCGCGCTGCAGAGGCTGCAGATGGCCTCACAGTGCTGTGCTGAACCCCTGGAGCCACCAGGGAGGCTCCGCCATCTCTGAATTGTTCACCGTCTGGTAGACATTTACCATGTCCCAGATTTGGGCCGTAAATTCTAATTTTTGGCCAACATTTTTAGGTGATTCTTCTTTTGCGTTAAAACAATGTAGAGTTTCAAGAATCCGGAGGAGACGGTGCCGGCTGACCTGGTCAGCCCCGGAGACAGACAATAAACATGTCGTCCGTGTAAGGAGGGGGGACCCCAGGGCCTTCGCTGCTGGCGAGGTCCAGTCCCCGGTCACCTGTCTCCACGGGGCTGCTGGTCAGGTTGTCGCCTGGTGACCACGGGTAAGGGGGGGGGTGTTAGTCCCCGGTCAGCGCCTGGTTCTCGGAGGAGCAATTGCCAAGTTGTAGAAATGCTCAGACTTCCCCACCCGCCGTCAGGGGGCCCGGACCCCCGTGTCCACCTCTGCTTAACACCCGACCTGGTGTCTTTAAACAGGGACAATCCCGGGGGTGCTGAAGCTGCCTAAAAAGTAAGAATCACGCTGTGTAAATTTACACTAGATGAAAATGTTATTTTAATATTTAAATTAAATTACCAATTTAGTTGTATGTGCAGTTATATTGTAATTAATTTTATAGATGTAATTTAAATGTTAAAATAGTGTTTTTAGTTACTTTAAATTTATATACAATAATTTTCGCTTTTATCAGGTTCTGCAATTCTCCCAGCATCCCGGGAAGGGCTGAAGCAGCTCACGCTGGCCTTGGGTCCTGAGCATCCTATCCTGGCCATGGGGTGTTGCACCTTGGCCAGGGGAGCTCCCAGCCCTGGGGGATGGGAGGAGGAGCTGACTCCCCCATTCAGGAATGGCCCCCTCAGTGGTTGTGGAGGAGCAGCCAGAGACACGGGGCTGAGGGCTGAGACTGGGGTCCAGGCCAGGTCGGGGCCGTGTCCATGGCCGGGGTGTGAGGACACAGGCCAGACAGAGTGTCCGGCGGAGCCCGGGGCTGAGAGTCTGCAGGAAATGGATCTGATGGTCTGTGACAGACACACAAGGCACGTCGCGTGGGGAGTGTGAGCCTGAGCCTTGGGGTGCGCGTGGGGCCGGAAGACGTTCACCCCAACACCTTGTCCCTTCCCTCTTGTCGTGCTCAAGGGCCGGGGAGCGTGACCGCTCGGCCTGGGGTAACTGTCTCCGCGTCCCCGCAGCCCCCACATGTTTCCACGCGGTTTGGCAGCTCCGCGAGCCGGTCCCCATCCGCACGCACACTTGCTCTCTCGCAGGAAACATTTTGGGGTGCTGAGACGCGAGCAGCCGGCACTGAGCACGCTGACGTGTCCCTGCAGACCCAGCACGTCTGGTCCCGCCGTCACCCCTCCGCCGTCTCGAGACCTTCTCAACGTCCTCCCCTGGGTCTCTGCCCGGGAACTGTGACTCCCGCCCGGCGCCCGGCCCAGCCCTGGTCACCCCCAGCTGTTGCTTTGCTTAATTAGGGGGGAAATCTAACAACCTTTACCACCTCGGCATTTTCCAGTATGTGTTTTTGGGGTAACCAGAGGCCCACGGTCACCCCCCTGATTCCGGAAGTTTTTCATTTTGCAAAACTGAAAGGCTGAACCTCCCCGAGCAGCTTCCTGTCCCCTCCCGGGTCCGCTCTGGCCCCGGCTCTAAGGGCTGATTTCTTTGTGGCCTCCTGTGGTGCCCCATGGGGCGCTGGCCTGCCTGGGAGACTCACCTCACTTAATGACATCCTCAACACTGGTGATCTCACCCCTACTTCTGTCCTTTAGATACTGGGGTGCTCTCAGAGCCGAGCCAGGGGCTTTATGGGCGTGTTTCCATGGATGAGGAAGGAAACTGTTCTCCCGCAGAGCGTTCCATTGAGAAAGAGATGGCTTCTGGGTGAAAGGCTCAGTGCTACCCCAGGAAGGCCCACCGAGTCGGCCTGGGCCTGCGTTTGATCCCCAGCCAAGCAGCTGACCCACATGGCTCAGCAGACCTCTCCTGTGTCTCTGCTGCTCCCCTCAGCAGCGTATTTCAGTGGATCCGCCTGTTCTGCTCCAAATTCTGTCTCTGGTCAGTTCTCTCACCGCCGCTCCCCCCACCTCTGGCCTACACCCCACATCTAAGCGCACACACACAAAATAGAAATAGAACATATTGTGAAATAGCAAGTTCCTCAAATAGCCAAGCAGAAGGGCTGCGGGGGAGGGGGGAGCTGCCCAGTCAGCAACACGGGGTGCATTTCCCGCCTTGTGCACATGCACCCACTTCACAGCGGAGGGAGCTGAGGCCGGAGAGTGACGGGGACGCGTGTCTAAGCGGCTGGGCTGGGCGTGACCCGGGAGCTCCGGCTCCATCTGTCCCAGGAGCCCCGAGCTCGCCTTTCTGACCTCGCTGAGGCGGCAGCTCTGCAGGGAGCGCAGGACCCACTGTCCTCAGAGAGGCCTTTTTGGGCCTCCAGCATCAGGAGGGGAACAGGGGAGGGTGGCTCCACGTTTGACATTGACCTGGGCGTACTCGGAGGCCTCCTGGACCAGAAAGGCCCTGGGGTTCGCCTTGGGGAGCCCGAGGTTGGCATAATGCAGCTCCTGCTCCTCCTCTGAGGGAGACACCGCCAGGCCCTGGAGGTGAGGGGGACTGTCAGCCCAGGATCCGCCCTGGTGACCCTGACAGGGACGAAATAAGGCTCCAGGTCAGTCTCAGTCTGGAGAAAGGAGCTGTGCTCAGGGTTGTTTGTTCCTGTGTCTGTTCACACCCAAGCCTGAGGGTCCTTCACTCACTCACACACTCACTCACACACTCACTCACACACTCACCCATTCTCACCTCTAACAGGTTTTCTTCATAACAGCTTGTTATCACTAGTCTCCTGAACCCCTCACACCTGCCTGGGTGATGTCACCATCGCCCCGTTTTACAGACATGCAGACACGGGCACGTCCAGTGCCCCCAGTACACTGACCCAACCTGGGGTGCCTGCAGGTCAAGGGGGGCGTCCCCTGATCCCCACACCCCACACAAGCTTCTCTACTTGCAAATTGGGGTGTGAGGGCAGCGCAGGGGCCTGGGTGGGCCTGGGGTGTGCAGTGGATGTGGCCTGACTCAGGGCGGGCAGTGGGTGGGCACAGGCCTGTGACTGCTCCCCTGCCGGGCCCAGGGGTGTGAGTTGAAATGGGGCAAAAAAGACTTGGGGCTCCAGCCCCCGCATGGGGAGGACAGGATGGGACCCACAGGCACAGAGTCCCCTCAGGGCCCTGCCCGGCCACAGGCTCCGTTGTGGGGAGGGCAGGAGGGGCTGCAGCTGGGCAGGGAGTCCCAGAGCCCCAGCACGTGTGGGGAGTGAGGACAGGAAATGGGGTGGTCAGAACCCGGAGGCTGCTGTGCGTGTAACATCAGCGCTGTTTTTCACAGACTGACCGCAAAGACGTCACGTACCTCCAAAAAGCAAGTGATCGCGGGCAGAGTTGGGCTGTGAGCGGGTGTGCGCGGGTGTGGGCACCGCGGTGGGTGTGGGTGAATGAGTCACACGCCAGGGGGGCTGGTGGTGAGGGAGGCTGAGAGGGGACATGAGGCGGGGGCGGCGCAGACCAGGACCCGCAGGTGGGGATGTGGACAGAGTGTTGAGGAAGGAGAAGCCCGGGGGCGCCGAGGCCCAGCAGGGGTCAGGCTGCTGTGAGGGGGTCTGGGGGTGCAGGCCAGAGGGGGTTTGCAGGGGGAGCCAGTGCAGAGAATCCCCGGTTCTTCCAGACCTGCTGGTCACCCCAGAAGGAGTTAGTTTAGCGACAGGTGCAATTCCACAAAGGATGGGCCCCCAGCAGGAGCCTGTGTCAGTGCGGTCTCTGCCCTGCCCGCGGCAGCTCCTGCCCCCGCGGTGTCGTGTCCTTCCCCGGTGAGAGGATGCACCTGCCCCTGCGTGTCACTAGACCTGGCTGCCTGGTTGGACACTCCTCCGAGCCTCTGAAGGGGGAGCTCTGGGGAGACTCTCCTCCCAGAACCCGAGGACCCGGCTCTCTGACCCACCACCCGTGCGCCTGTCTGTCTGTCTGTCCTCCTGGGCAATGTGCCCGCGGGACAGTGATAGCTGTGGAGGAGGCTCTGGGTATTTCTGCCCCACCCGGATGTGGGGGCGGCAGGGTTTGGGGGAGGGGAATGAAGTGGGGTGATGGGATGAGGCCAGAGACCCTGGAGAGACCCTGAGGGCTCAGAGGGCTCAGCAGGGAAGGGAGGGGGAGAAATCCTTTTCCCAGAGGGCGCCTCACCAGGACTTAGGGGTGGGGAGGGCGGGAGCTGCAGGTCTCCAGGCTTGTGCTGCGGAAAGCACGGGAGGAAATGGGGTGGGGGATGCCAGGGAAGCCTCCTTCCCTGTAGGCCCAGCGCAGGCTCAGGTAGAGAGGGACCAGCCCCACCTGCAGGAAGACACTCACCCCGGGGGTTCTCCCTGCGGCCTGGGGGCCCGGCCTGCTCTCTGCTGCCTCCATCCCTTTCTTCCTGCAGCTCCTCACTCTGCGGAGGGAGACCAGGCCCCTCAGCCCCGCTGCTCGCCCAGGAGCCAAAGGGCTGTGGGGGGCAGGTGGGGTTGGCTCTGGGCAGAAACCCCAGGGACAGACTCGCTGGGGTGTTTCAGCATCACAGCCCCTGACTCACCCCACAGGCAGCCAGCCCTGGGCAGGAGATCTGGCCTCTTCCTGTCTCCTCCTCCCCCCACCCCTGCGCCCTCCCAGCCTTTGAGGTCTTCAAGGGTCCCGACTCACATGAAGAAGACCAGGCAGAGCACAAGCAGGGCGGAGACTCCTGCTCCCCCAATGGCCCCCAGAACCACCCATGTCCTGGCTCCTTGTGGACCTAACGCAAAGGGATCTGGGTGACCCCTGTTCCCTGAGCAGACACCAGACACCCAGGGGCTCACCCATGACCGGGAGAGCCCATTCTCTCCAGGACTTGTCCTCTGTGCCCCCATTGTCTGCGGATACAGCCTCCGTCCCCCCCCCCAAGAACCCTCAACAATCCACAGGGCCTCCCCCCTCTTGTCCCCAGGAGACAAGGTCAGTGTCCCTTCCTGGAGCAGCCCCCACCCGCCCCAGGGCAGGGAGGGCCAGCTGCAGAGCAGACTCCGGTCCCCCAGGAGCAGGAGGGGTGCCACTGCTATGTGGAGGGGGGTGCTGTGGGGGTGATGGGGGCATCAAGGCAGCCTCTCCCCTCTCTTCACAGCAGAAGCCCTAGGGGTGCTGACTCACTCTCCACAAAGAGACTCAGGGAGGCCTCCTGGGAGCCCAGGGGGTTCTGAGCGTCGCAGAGGAGTTTCCCGTGGTCCTCCAGGTGCACCTTGGCCAGCTCCAGCTCCAGGGTCTGGGGGTGCTCCCACGTTCCTCCCACACCGAGGTTGAGACTTGGAGAGGACTTAACGCTCAGGGTCCCCCGGAACCAGCTCAGCCTGGCGGGAGGGCTGCTGTGGACCACACAGGCCAGGCGCAGAGACTGGCCCTCCTGCACCGGGAGAGAGGAGCCGTTGCCCAGGGCTTCAGGTCCTGGAGAGAGATTTCAGGCCTTTAATAGGGTGCACCCGGTGAGGTTTGATCACCCACTCTATGTCATTGTGTTATACAGACTCTGCTGACTGAGGCCAATTTTATGGTCAATATTTTAAAAAGTAAGTTGTCCCAGAAGTGAGATGCTAAGGAGGTGGATAGATCATAAGGAGCATGAGGGCAAATTGGGGTGGAGGAAGTAGACCTGGTACTGGGGACACGTACAGCATCAGATAAGGAAGACACAGTAGGACACCCCAAGGAGCTGGTCTTTGGCAGGGGAGTCTGGGTATGAGCTGAAGAGCCCATGGGGGTTCCCATCTCTGCTGCCCCCACTTAGCAAAGTCCTTCTCCCATGTGTGTTCTCAGACCCCAGCTGTTTTGAAGGCTCGAGACAGACCCCACATCCTTCCCACCTTTACAGGTCAGCTTGCTCCCTACCTGAGCCTTCTTCCCTGATCACCTGGATGGTCAGGTTCTGGGGCGCATCTGGACAGACAGACGTAATTGTTCTCCGTCAGCTGGCCTTCCCCCAGGAGCATGAGACATGGAGGATATGGCCAGGGGCCTCTTTCCCTCCTCCTGGCAGGATCTGTAGGGCCCACATCCCAGACCCCGTGTCTCCCCTTCCTATATCCACTGCCCTGGGGACCCCTCAGGCCAGGCGTCCGGGCCCCACACTCACAGGCCACGCTGAGCCGGACGGTGGTCTCTGTGCTCACGCCCGCTGCAGGGAAGGTCACCCGGCAGGTGAGGTTGGAGCCGTGGTGCTGGGGCCCCGGGCTGAGGGTGAGCACCGGGGAGTCGGTGCTTGTGGCGCTGAGGCCGACCCCCGTCCAGGAGAAGGTGGGGGGTGTCCCCCTCTCACAGGCCCAGGGCGCCGCACAGGTGATGTTGCTGGGCCGGCCAGACTGGAGGGGCTGCTGGAGGTGGATGTCCGGCCTGTGGGTCAGCGCTGGGGGAACAGACACGGCCTGGAGCAGGACCTGAGTGTCCCCAGGGGCAGCCTGTGTCAGGCCGCCCGCCCCCGCCCAGCCAGGGTCCTCTCCCCACGGATCTCAGGGTCCCTCACAAAAAGAAGACATGGGTCCCCTCCCAGCCTCGCCCAGGGTGCTCAGGACACTCCCTTGTGTCCCTTCAGCACCCAGCTCTTACCTGTCACCAGTACAGAGAGCTGGTGGTTCATAAAATCATATAACACAGAACTCTGTGTCTCCACCCTGAAGTAGTAGGTCCCCGTGTCCTCTCTGCGCGCGTCTCTGATGTCCAGGGAGCAGTTGTAGGTCCGGGGGTCCCACAGCAGGTGGAATCGCCCCCGGGTCACCTTCTGACCCAGGCGGTTTGTGGCCACTGTATTCCAGGACATTCCCCTTTTCTTGAACCAGGAGCCATAGACTGTGCTTCCCGCAGTGTAACGTGGCCCAGGGTAGCCGCCTACGCAGGGCAGGAGGACGCACTGGCCCTCCTGCACCGTCACTCGCTCCTGCAGGCGCAACCAATAACTCTCCTCCTGAGCCAGGGATCCTGCGGGGAGACGAGGGTCAGTGCGGCCCCCAGCCCCGCCCCTCCCGTCCCCCACTCACCTGCCCACAGCAGGGGCAGCAGCAGCTGGGGCAGCATCACGGGGAGAGTCAAGGATCTGGGCATCACAGGCTGACGAAGCCGCGACGGAAGCCCAGATGGGGCGGTCACGAGTTGGCTGACCACAAGGAGGAACTTTCCACACTCTGTGCGCCAGGCCAGGGCTGCGTAGACACTTACTTCCCCTCGGTTACGTGTGGGCTCGTGGGGCAGGAGGACCCACCTGCAGCTCTCAGCTCCCGGCACAGCCAGACAGAGTCCCTGCAGGGACCCCCGGGAGGCCGACCCAAGTGTGGGATCAGGAGGCGGCACCTGCAGGCGTTCGAGATGGTTGAGTCCGGGTGGGGAAGAGGGGGTGATGAAGGACCCCGGCCTCTGAGTGCATCTGCTCTTTTCAGGGAGGGAGTATCTGGGGTGAGGCCGGGGCGACCTTGCGTCTGTGCTTGAGAAGGTCCCTGTTGCCCTAGGGGCTCAGAGGCTGATTTTGCTGCTGTGGCTTCAGGTGGAAGAAGTTGTCCAGCAGGGCTTGTAGGGACCCCACTGCTCTGTGAGCTCCAAGGTGGGGTCCAAGGAGGGACAGGCTTAGGAGACCTGGTCTGAGGAGGACATGGTGGTCCTGGGGCCTCCTGACCTGTCCCTGCTCTGCCTCAGGACCCCAGCGTGACTGGGTGAAGCAGCTCACGCCGGCCTTGGGCCCTGAGCATCCTGGTCATCAGCCTTGGGGTGTTGCACCTTGGCCAGGGGCCCTCCCAGCCCTGGGGTGCGGGAGGAGGAGCTGACTCCCCCATTCAGGAATGGCCCCCTCAGTGGTTGTGGAGGAGCAGCCAGAGACACGGAGCTGAGGGCTGAGACGGGTCCAGGCCAGGTCAGGGCCGTGTCCATGGCCGGGGTGTGAGGACACAGGCCAGACAGAGTGTGCGGCGGGGCCCGGGGCTGAGAGTCTGCAGGAAATGGATCTTACGGTCTGTGACAGACACACAAGTCATGTCGCGTGGGGAGTGTGAGCCTGAGCCTTGGGGTGCTCGTGGGGCCCGAAGACGTTCACCCCAACACCTCGTCTCTTCCCTCTTGTTGTCGTGCTCGAGGGCCGGGGAGCGTGACCGCTCGGCCTGGGGTAACTGTCTCCGCGTCCCCGCAGCCCCCACGTTTCCACGCGGTTTGGCAGCTCCGCGAGCCGGTCCCCATCCGCACCCACACTCGCTCTCTCGCAGCAAACATTTTGGGGTGCTGAGGCGCGCAGCCAGCACTGAGCGCAGTGACATGTCCCCGCAGGCCCAGCACGTCTGGTCCCGCCGTCACACCTCCGCCATCTCGGGACCTTCTCACCGTCCTCCCCTGGGTCTCTGCCCGGGAACTGTGACTCCCGCCCGGCGCCCGGCCCAGGCCTGGTCACCCCCAGGTGTTGCTTTGCTTAATAAGGAGAAAAACTGGGCCTCCCTGGTAGTACAGTGGATTCAGCCTGGTGCTGTGAAGCTGTCTGCAGCCTCTGCAGTACAGGTTCAAGTCCCGGCCCCCCGGGGAGATTCCCATATAGCACAGCAGACCTCTCCTGCCTCCCCGCTGCTCCCCTCAGCAGTGCATTTCGTCAGTCTGCCTGTTCTGCTCCCTGCTCTGTCTCTGGGGAATTCTCTTACCGTCCCATGCCTCTGGCCTGTACCCCGGTTCTTGAATAAATAAATCTTTAAAAACAAAATTAGGAGAAAAACTAACCACCTTTACCACCTCAGCATTTTCATGTGTGGTTCGGGGTTAACTAGAGGGCCAGGGTCGCCCACCGGATTCCGGAAGGTTTTCATTTTGCTAAACTGAAAGAATGAATCTCCATGAGCTGCTTCCTGTCCCCTCCCGGGTCCGTTCTGGCCCTGGCTCTAAGGGCTGGTTCCTTCGGGCGGTGATGGGTGTCTGGGGGATGCGTCTCATTTAGCAATGTGCTCCACACTGACGCTGTCACCCCTACTTCTGACCTTTTAGAACTGGGGTGATCTCAGCAGCCAGCCTGGGGGGTTATGTGCATGTTTAGCTGGATGAGGAAACGTGAGCCCCCAGAGAGTTACTTCTAGAAATAGATTCACGGGACCCCCCCTGGTGGCCTAGGGGTTAAAGGCTCAGGGCTTCCACCGGGAAGGCCCACTGTGACGGCCTGGGCCTGAGTTTGATCCCCACATGACACAGACCTCGCCTGTCTCCCCGCTGCTCCCCTCAGCAGTGGATTTCAGTGTATCCGCCTGTTCTGCTCCCCACTCTGTCTCTGATGAGTCCTCCACACCCGGCCCCCCCCATCTCTGGCCTACAGCCCAGTTCTTCTAAACACACACAAAAAAATAGAAATAGTTTCACATTGTGAAATCCATCACATTCCTAATATAGCCAAGCAGAAGGGCCGGGGGAAGGGGAGTTGACCAGTCAGCAACTCGGGGTGCATTGCCCGCCTTGTGCACATGCGCCCACTTTACAGCGGAGGGAGCTGAGGCCGGAGAGTGACGGGGACGCGTGTCTAAGCGGCTGGGCTGGGCGTGACCCGGGAGCTCCGGCTCCATCTGTCCCAGGAGCCCCGAGCTTGCCTTTGTGACCTTTGTGACCTCGCTGAGGCAGCAGCTCTGCAGGGAGCGCAGGACCCGCTGTCCTCAGAGAGGCCTTTTTGGGGCTCCGGCATCGGGAGGGGGAGGGGAGAGGGTCTATGTTGGGGTTGACCTGGGTGTACTCAGAGGCCTGGAACAGAAAGACCCTGGGGCTCGCCTTGGGGAGCCCGAGGGAGGCGTAATGCAGCTCCTGCTCCTCCTCTGAGGGGGACAACACCTGGCCTTGGAGGTGCGGGGGGCTGTCAGCCCAGGGTCCGCCCTGGTGCTCCTGAGAGGGACGAGATAAGGCTCGGGGTCTGGAGAAGGGACCTGGGCTCAGGGGTGTCTGTTCCCGTGTCCAGTCACACCCACGCCTGAGGGTCCTTCACACGCACACACTCACTCACACTCAGACACTCACTCACATACTCACTCACACTCACACCTTAACATATCCCCATGATCTCCTGTCCCTGGTCTGAACCCCCACCTCCCTTCTGGGGGACACTGATGGCGGCTCCTGGTGACACCCCGGGGAGGGTCCCAGGGGCAGGAGCACAGGCGGGAACGAGCTGCAGAGGGACGTGTGCGGAGGCGCAGCCCCGGGGGGACCCCGAGCCTGGGGTCACCGGACAGTCCCGGGCCCCTCAGATCTACCCGGGCAGCCCCAACATAGAAACCACCCCGAGGCCCGGCCCAGGGAGCACGGGAGGAGCAGGAGCTCATGCTGCACACGGAGGAGCCCGAGGCCGAGGCCCTGGAGAGGCAGCGCCCGCCCTTCTCTGCGCCGCCTCCGCCCTGGCCCTGTGATCTGATGCCCTGCCCTGTGGGGGTGCCCAGCCTCTCTGCCTGGGGGAACTCCCCGCAGCTGCTGAAAGGGGAGCTCTGGGGAGACTCTCCTCACAGGACCCGAGGACCCGGCTCTCTGACCCCACATCCGTGCGTCTGTCTGTCTGTCCTCCTGGGCAGTGTGCCCGCGGGACAGTGATAGCCCTGCAGGAGGCTCTGGGTATTTCTGCCCCACCCAGATGTGGGGGCGGCAGGGCTGGGGCTGAGTGACAGCTGTTGGGGAGCTGCTTGCAAGAGCTTGTTCAGGGAGGGGGTCTGAGGGGGGAGAGGCCAGGGACCCAGAGAGAACCTGGGGCGCAGAGGGCTCAGGGGGGATGAGGTGGGGTGGGAAAATCTTTGCAAAGAGGGGGCCTGACCTGGACTTGGCTCCCGGGAGGGGGTGAGGGAGGCTCAGTCTCTGGGTCAAGAGCTCAGGGAGGCCAGGGGAGGAACAGGGTGTGACCAGGGAACCCTTTTTGCCCTGGAGCAGAGCCCCAGGCACAGCCCCAGAGGTCAGGCTGACCTAAGTCTGCAGAAGACCCTGAGTCACTCACCCCGGGGGTTCTCCCTGAGGCTTGGGGGCCTGGCCTGCTCCCTCCTGCTTCTGTGAGTGCTTTTCTTCCTGTTTCTCTTCATTCTGCGGGGGAGACCAGGCCCTTCAGCCAGCTGCTCCCACGGGTACTGGGGAGGCTGCTCTGGGCACAGACCCCAGGGGTCAGACTCGCCCTCATCCCTGGCGGAGAGCTTTGGAGTGTGCCCCTCCTTGCCCCCCACCCCAGCCCCCTCACTGCCTGTGAGGGCTTCAGGGGACCCCGACTCACATGAGGAAGACGAGGCCGAGCAAGATGAAGGCTTTGGCGCCCAGTCCCACCAAGGGCCCCAGAAGCCCCCCTGTCCTCGCTCCCGCTGCGCCTGCAGACAGAGGCCTGGGTGACTCCTGCCCTGAGCAGACACCAGGCCCCCAGGCTGCTCCTCTCCCAGGCCCGGGAGCACCCGCTTCTCTCCAGGGTCTGGGGGAGAATCGGGTCAGACCAGAGGGGCCCGGGTGAGGGAATTCTCCAGAGACCGGGTGAGAGCAGAAAAGCTGGGCTCATGGAAATGCACTTGCTGAGAGAGGGGAGGCGACATGGGGGGACTGCAGGCAGAACGTGACTCGAGGCTCTGTTGTGCTCCAGACATCATGGCCTGTTGGGGTGACTGGTCCTGGGGTGCCCCCTGGAGATGATGGTCCTGGAAGATCAGCCGCCCCGTGTCCTGATACCAGGGCAGCCCTAACCACTCCCCTTATCCTTTCAAACTACATGGGCAAGGAAGTGGGTTTGGGTTTTAAATTGATAGAGACATCCAGGACTTGTCCTCTGTCCCCCACCTCTAGGGAACAGCCTATGCCCCACCCCAGAACCTACAGAGGCCCTGAAGACTGGTGACCCCTCGCACAGGCAGACCCTTCCCTCGGTGTGCCCAGGACTCAGGAAGCGCAGGGAAAGTCCAGCTCAGGGCATGGGGGTGCTGTGGGGATGAGGGGGCATCAGGGCAGCCTCTCCCCTCTCTGTGCAGCAGAAGCCCCGCGGTTGCTGACTCACTCTCCACAGAGAGACTCAGGGAGGCCTCCTGGGAGCCCAGGGGGTTCGGAGCGAGGCAGAGGAGTTTCCCGTGGTCCTCCAGGCGCACCCTGGCCAGCTCCAGCTCCAGGGTCTGGGGGTGCTCCCATGCACCTCCCGCACCTA